ATCGGCCCTTTGCACACGCTAGGATGTGAAACCAGAAGCCCTTGAACAGCTTGAGTACACAAGTCGTTTATTAAAGTAATAAAAAGCGGGCGGGATAAAAGACAAACACATTTAAAGCGAACCATTTTGGAAAGTTTAATAGCGCTTTCAATAAAACTGAGCTTGCAGTATTAACGAATGCAAGAGTTTGTTATTTTGTATAATCCAAATAAACTTGTACATTTATACAGTTACAGACTGCATGCCATAAAATGCATTTTGTTTATTCTAATTTGAATATGTACAATTTACAATATAATTCAAGCATCAATTCAGCAGTAGAGAACACAGACCGGCTGTGCAATCGGTTACTTCTCCTCAGCGTAAGCGTCAGGGCTGGGCTAAAATGTTAACTGGGGAAAAAAAAAAAAATTCTGCCACACCAATAAAAACGGAACATTAACCAGAAACAACTTCCTAAAATGAGCAGCTAAAGCAAGTCATCACCCGTGTTTACCCTTTCACTCTCACTAACGAAGGACGCACCCACTGCCACTGTAACACACGTAACGCCTCGCAACACAAGCCGCAAGCCTCAGAAATCTTGTGTCCAGCAAGGACAGGTGCATTTTCTGATTCAAAAAAAAAAAAAATCCAACTTTTCAGTTAATCGTACCTTAATATTTTCTATGGCATTAATGTAATAAAAGTGAGGATACTTTCCCAGTGTCTCCCATACTTCTAGGTTTTTCCATCCAGGCTACCCAGCGAGCTGCAGCCACCCAGACTGCCAGAACGTTCTACAGCACTTCTCTCCGTCGCCTGTTTGCAGTTCAAGTTGTAGAACACGTGCACGCTGCTCCTACTTAATTCAGTCTTGTAGGCAGATTCAACCCAAAGCTTCCCAAAGGAAAACGCCACTCGGCTCTCCCAAAGGCAGGACTCTGCACCCCCGAGCAGCCGCCACGCTGGGGCATGGGAAGCCGGACCTTCCCCACGTTTTTTTTGGGGGGGGGAGGATGCCGGTGGCCCCGGGGCACGGCTGGTGAAGCATCATTGCTCTCAGTCCGGGGACGTGTCACGTTCGCTTTTCCATACAGGAAAGTCAACGGGACCATGAGGCAACCCCAGCTGATGGCGGGAGAACTCAGCAAAGACAGGGAACCCCCAGGGCACCCCACCTGGCAGCGGCGCTGCCGCACCAGAGCCCCAACTGGGGGCAGTGCAGGGGGACAGGACAGGACAGAAAAGATGGGGAGGGGAGGAAGGGGAGAGGAGAGAGGAGGAGAGAGGAGAAATGAGAGAAGAGGTGAGAAAGAG